TTTAATTAGGAATACTGTCTTTAGTGCTCAGTTCTCCAACTTACTGCACCAGTATTTGGAAAAACTGATGTCAGGGTTACTGAAATGAATAGTTCTGAAGTACAGCCATAGGGTTTGGCGAAGCAGCGGTTTCTGAAACGAAGCGATGTGGTTCGCTGGATGGGGATGTTCTGCAAGCAGCTGTGAAGCACCCTTTGAAAAGAGAAGGTGCTGAGATGGTCCCATGAGACCTTTTCTGTGCAGTCCTTCCCCTTCCCCTCTCTCCCCCTCCAAAACTTTTCTGTACCCAGGAAGCTCTGCCTGTAGACACCTCTTGTGAGATGCTTTTCCTTGGAGACCCTCTCCAAGCAGAATGGATACTTTAGAGGTTTTATTGACAGCTCTTTTTCTGTCAATTTATAGAGAAACTATATGCACTCAAACAAAAATTGTGAGATTACTTGGTGAGGCTTAATAGAAGTTCTGAAATTCCATGAAAAACACAACGTCTTATGCCAAGAAATGTGCATATGTGTGTATGTGGTTTGTATTTTTGTGGCTTCCCTAGAGATAATCTCAAAGTAACTTGATCTTTATTTTACAGATGCATCTTGCACTTAAAATATGTATTTAATATTTGCAGGCTTGCTAAAGTGTGCTTGTTTGAATGCTTTTAACTTACATCCTTTATCACACAGTCATTCTTCCAGGCACACTTCGCCTCATCTTCAATTTAAATGATAGGATTCCTTTTATGTGAGCCAAAAAGGTGTCAGTTGACAAATTACACATGTTTTACTGAATTAATTGCAATTGGGATGCTTCTTGTTTGGATTAATAGCCTATTTTTGTTTGTGGTTCTTTGTTTTAAAACATTACCTGCAGCGGTCATGTAGCTTACATTGTGTTTAGTCATTTAGAATATATAGCCTAACCCTATGAGTTCTCATTATTTTTCTATGAAAACCCAGATGTTTGAAAGCCTGATTTAATAAGCAGTGCACTCACTGCACCACTTCTGATATGACTCAAGATCATGACTGGAAAACAACTTGAGCGCTTTTAGTTGCATGACTCTGCTGAACCTACTAGTCAGGGTGAGAAAGAAACTGTTTCTATATCCTTTGCAACTGAGAGAACCAGCAAGACCAATAAACACCAGCACGCAGCTGGCCTGTCCTCTGGGCAACTGCTGTATCCCACCAGCTGTCCTTGGGTTCAGCGTGTCACAAATCTTCCTGCCTCTGTTGGTGAGAGCAGCAGGCTCTTCTGCACTGTTAAACACTCAGCTTCTCTGTCTGCCTACCTTCCTGCCAGGAAGTAGCTTTACATCCAGGATTTCCGGAATTCATACCTAATTTCAGGGTGATGTGGCAGTATCCTCCATGTGGAACAACCTTCTGTGCTGTTTTTGTCAATGGCCTGAGCAGACAGATTAGGGCCACCATGTTCTCACACTTGATACTGTTTGTTCTCCCTTGAATGTGTTTCAGCATCTTGAGTTCTTGTATTTTAGTACCTGTCCACGTCATTGCTTTGGAGAATCTGCAGTGAGCTTATGCTGTGGTATTTCTGTAGTGTGGAACAAAAGCATAGTGAATGACAGTCTGTGTGAGATGTACCCTGACTATGGATTAACTTGGGATGAAGGCTGAAATGAGCAGATGTATCAGTTTATTTTCCTTGGAGTCTATCTTTCAAGCTAGATATTTAGAATGCTCTACCAAAAAAACCAGTCTTGACTTTAGGTTTTTGCACCATCTTTTATCAAATGATGGTTCCATGCGAGGCAGATTCTTAAAACTTCAGTTCTGTCTCACATTTCTTACTTGGCACAGGATGCTCCACACCAATAAGACAAATTCATCCTCATTTTCTTCTTTTAGGATGTTGTTGCAAGATCTCTCTGGGAGATCTGCATTGGTGGGAAAAATACAGCCTTAGCGCTCTGCCAGGTTTTGTTTGTTTGTTTGTGTTATTGCTGAGAAACTATCAGTATGGTTTCCCAGTTACCTCCAAAAAATACTTCATGGATTATATAATGTCTGCAGGTGGCTGTGTGGCATACCAGACCTGCATTTTCCCTGGAAGACATCCGAAATCTCATTCTCTTACTCTAAACTGGATTGATTTGAAAGTAAACTCATAACACAGCACCACCTGAGCTCACTCAGGGCATTCTTTATGCATTCTTGTTGTCCTTATTTGAAAACAGATACTGTGAAAATCAAGAGCATGATTTCAAACTTCCTTATGTTAGAATTGCAGGATAACAAAAAAGGACCAATTGCAAACATAAATGTTCTGAACAGTATTTTTCCATGTTCTTCTCCCGTCAGAGGTGATTTTGGTCCCTAAAATGGGCTTTTTATTTAGGAAGGAAGAATATTAAAAATATTGATGACATTTTCATATATAAAGAGATTTAGCTTGGTGACTCTGTCCTCCTGACTTCCAGCAGAGCAAGGCTTACTAAAAATAATAAAGTATTTAACTGAAAAGCTTCTTTCTTTGGCGAGCGTCTTAACTATTGAAACTTGTAGAAGTCAGACCATCCTGTCTGTCAACCTTTCTTTGTATTATTCAGAAGTTCAGAACCTTTCACGATAAAGAATAGAGACAAATGTTCTTTCACTTTTGAGTTGTAAGAAGTGAGTTGCTATCAGAAGGTGTTAATGGGCTTTTTACTTTGTTGGGGTGTGTGGTGAATTGGTTTTTTTCTTTGTTCTTTTAAGAAATTGAGCTAGTTTTACTTTCAGAAGGTTAAGAATCAGTAGCAATATTTGAAATACAAAAATATTTGAAATGAGATTGAGATTTTTCAGATGTTTCTGCTAGTGGCTTCCATTCCTACCATGTTCTCTAGGATTTCACCTAAAGAAAACCATGATCTATTTTATAAACTCAGTGTAGTTTAGTATCAAGTCTTCACGAATGTGTGAGATACATTGAGAATTTTCAAAATATTTTCCTGGTGAAGGAAATTATTTAGAAGGGGATCAAATAGATCAAACTGAAAATGGAAATTTAGAGATTTGATGTACATTTGCTTGATCGAGTCTTTTTTGCATGTTGGCAAGGGGCTGTAGTGGTGCAGTTCTGCAGGGTGATGACCCCGATGGTTTTAGGCAGAGAGATCTGATTTTTTTGGTTATGAGTTGTCATTGTGAGCTGCAGGGAAAGCAGCACAGCCTCTGACTTAAGACTTGAATGGAGATGGAGCCTTTCTCTGTGGTGCACTCCAAGGTGGATGGAATTTAAAGCAATATACCAACACCACATCTGTATCATAATTCTGAATGCATCAAAATCAAAGATGCTGACACTGTCGTAATACTCCCCAAGGTCCCTGTCTGGTGCTTTATCTGGGCCTGCTGTGTGTTGTCCAGCTCCACTGTGCTTCTGCTCCCACTCCTGTGTCTGCTGTAGCATTTGTATGTGTAGCCTTTGCCCTCCAGCTGTGGGGAGACAGAGGAGTGGAGGAAGGATGTTTTCTCTGTCTGTCTGTTGGCATGTCTGTCTGAAGGAGCAGGCCAGGGCAATGTGGAATGGTAGGAGTTATGGGCCTGGGGAGTAGGCTGAAGGAGCCTGACTGCTGTGGCTGGACATCCAATAAGCCAAGGAGAAGAGTAGTAGAACTATCTTGCATATATAATAACTAGTAGAATGAGAAGATGCTGCCACTTCCAGCTTCACAAAAGCCTGCCATTCTATGTTAAAAACCAATTAATAATGTCATGACACTTGTTGGAATATTATGATTTTATATCTGTCTGTGTAACATAAGTCAATTTAATGGTATTGCTTTTCATGATTGGAATTTATATTTCCTGATTAATGCTCCAGCTTAGTGGAGGTAAAAGAGAATGCGTTTTTTACTAACAGTTCTGACCTCTCTATAGTCTTTATGTGATATATACCTTTAGCCAGAAAATTGCATTTTCATAGAATCACAGAATGGTTTGGGCTGGAAGGGACTTTTAAAGACCACCTAGTCCAACCCCCTGCAATGAGCAGGGACATCTTCAACTAGATCGGGTTGCTCAGCCCCATCCAACCTGGCCTTGAATGTTTCCCTGGATGGGGCATCCATCACCTCTCTGGGCAACCCCTGCCAGTGTTTCAGCACCCTCACTGTAAAAATATTCTTCTTATATCTAGTCTAAATTGACCATCTCTTAATTTAAAACCATTACGTATTGTCTTATTGAAACAGGCCCTGCTAAAAGATTTATCCCCATCTTATAAGCCCCCTTTTAAGTACTGAAAGGCTGCAATAAGGTCTCTCCAGAGCCTTCTATTCTCCAGGCTGAACAACCCCAACTCTCTGAGCCTGTCAGCATAGCAGAGGTGCTCAGCCCTCTAAGCATTTTTGTAGTCTACTCTGGGCTCCCTCCAGCAGTTTCACATCCTTCTTCTCTGTGTCCCCAGAGCTGGATGCAGCACTCCAGGTGGGGTCTTGAGAGTGGAGTATCCCCTCCCTCAACCTGCTGGCCACTCTGCTTTTGATGCAGCCCAGTTTTCTCTCACTTGTGGATATTAAGATGTTCCAGCAGCTACAATATGCCCTGGGGTAGCAGCAGTGAAAGGGCACAAAAGGGACAAGGAAATAGGGAGAACAGGACCAAAATGAAAGAGGCATTTGTACAAGACAGTCAAAATGGAAAAAGGGAACAGAGTAAAAAGGGCACACAGGAAAAAAAATAGAAGTTTTCTAAGGGATAAGAAGGAGGATTTAGCTATCATTTAATTACCAGAACTTTGCCAGTAGTCAGAGGGTACTTTGGTTTGAAACCTTTTATTTGAAAGCGTTCAATTGGGTACACATGGATGTGTGTGAAAGGAGAATCTTTCTATGTTACACCAAACTATCCAATGTTTGGCTCTTATTCAGTATCAATTTTAGGAGTGCATGTGTTTATGTTGAGTACTGACTTGAGCTCTTATAAAATGTTTTTAAGTAAAAAATTTTAAGCAAGTGCACCAATTGTAGATGTTTACTATTAAAACTTTCTTTGTAGGTAATTGCACTTAAGAATGAACATTGAAGACAAGCTGGGAGGATTATTTCTTAAATGTGGTGGCATAGACCAAATGCAGTCATCCAGGGCTATGGTAGGGATGGGTGCAGTATCTGACCAGTCTGGAGTATCGAGAGAACGGCAAGAGGCAGTGCTTCAAGATCGGACTATGCCGCACCAAGAAATTCTTGCAACAGATGAAGTGTTACAGGAAAGTGAACTTCGACAGCAAGAGATGATTTCACATGATGAACTCATGGTCCATGAGGAGACGGTAAAAAATGATGATGAAATGGATGCGCAAGATAGACTTCCTCAAGGGCTGCAGTATGCTGTTAATGTCCCTGTAAGCAATTTCTTTGTGAAATATTGGAGAAATTACTAGGAAGCTTGATCTGGTAGTCTAATCCTACTCTGGCAAGAATCTATTAATTGCTTGTTTGGATTATGATTATCAAAATATTTATGAACGGGTGCTATTTCTGAAAATGTCATTTGCCTCTGGCTGTGGATAAATTTTGCCAATTAAGTATAATCTTTAAGTATCTGTTTTATAAATATTTTATAAGCAGGCTGCTACCATAGAACTAATGCATTAAAATGTGCTCCTTTAAGTATATTCAATGTTCAAGGGTAACTACAAACCAGAATAAATAGTGTTATTAAAAGGTGCTTTTTATGCTGTTTATAGTACTATTTAGTTGCTTTTGCTATAGGAAGCATCTTGTGTGTTTTTAAGGTATGTGGACGCTTAGCAATTGCATTCACACTGCAGGTTGGACTGTGACACTTCATACATGACCATAAATATGCCCCTCCACGATATCTCATAGAAGGCATACCTTGGCTTTCCCAGAGAGCATGTAGATGACTTCCTTTCGAAAACAGAGCATCTGCCTGTAATGCAGCACATCATCACTGTTACCCTTCAAACATAAAGGACAATTACCAGGACTATAAACATAGATAGCCTTACACACGAAGAATAACCTTCAGAAAGGTAGCACTGTTAAAACACTTCTCTGTTAGCTGCAGATCAGGTGGTTCAGGTGTTAGAAAAATGTAAGAGTATCATGGTCTTTTTTAAGGTTCACATTAAATGAAGATTTTTTTTTTTCCCCAAAACTTCATTTGAACTGGTCTTTTTTTTTTTTCTTAAAAAATACTTCTGTCTTAAATATATAATAAACTATTCCGTTAAATCTTGCATTGACAACAGCGTGGACTAAAGTAAAATAGGTATGAAAAACTGAATGGTTTTACAGATGGAAGTGATTTTAACATAAGAACTGATCTCAAAATCACCACAGGTCAGGAAAAAAGACCTTGGGAGATGAATGAAAGGATACATCAAAATGTCATTGAGGAAATTAACTGTGCCCTTTTTATTTAAGATACATATTATTCCTTTCACTTAAATTTCTGAAAGAATGAAGCCAGAAGATAATCCCCTTAGAAAAAGGTTTTCTGTTTCAGCAGTTTGTCATCTTCTAAAATTGAAAAATTGCTTTTCTGTAGTGAGAACCTTACCTGAAACTGGCACTTGGTATCTTAACAGATCAGTGTAAAGCAAGAAATTACCTTTACTGATGCATCTGAACAACAGAAACGAGACAAAAAACAAATACGAGAGCCAGTAGATTTGCAGAAAAAGAAGAAAAGAAAACAGCGTTCACCAGCAAAAGTAAGACATTGATTTGGCAAAACCAAGATTAAAAGGACCTGAAGATTTGGTTGACTATGACTAATTTCATTAGCATTTGAAGTAGTTAGGCTGGAAATTGTTTGTTTGCTCAGTAAAGATGCAGTTCTGAAGTTCAGCAGAGACCCAAAACAAAACTGATATAACAGTGTTTTTCTTTGAACTCTTTTTAGCAACATGAACTCTTGACATATTTTAACATCTGTCTCTCCAGGCAGTTCTCTCTCCAAATATTTTTTTTTTTTAAATTATGAGTCAGTAGCTTTGTAGACAACTTTTAAATCATTACTCTGTATCTATCTAATAATAGTTGTGCTTTTCTGTGAGCCTGATAATTTTATATGCTTCATGCATAGTAGTGAAAAGTTTTAAAAAGAAATCTAAAATGGTAGTTTTGAAAATTCTAAAAAGTTTACTAATATATATAAAATAATTTACTGGTAGGGAAAATTCCTGTGGTCATAATCATCTTCATATATGTATTTATTTATATCAAGAAATTCTTACCATAGCTGCTGGTTTGTTACTTCAAAATTTGTTTTGTAGATCCATTCATGAAGAGTATGTATCCCTGTATGTCTGAAAACAATTTTCTCCTATTGAGAAGCACTTCAGATAAAACCAGAATCATTTCACCTCATGAGGTAGCAGTGTTGTATCTTCTAGTAAGTCCCCAAATCAGTGTTAACCTTCAGACTTAAAATAGAACGTATCCAGGCTGCTCTGATAGACAGAAATCAGTTATATGTTATCACACGGCAGCATTAAGATAAGCCTACTCAGAAATCAACCCAAACTGTTTATACATTGAAGGAAAACTCACCGTAAGAGCAAGAAAATCTCCCAAACCTTTTTGTTGCCCTGGGAGCAGGACCTTCCAGTCCTCCCCAAAGCACTGTCAGATAAGGTTGCACTTGTAGTATTCTTGGAAAGTTGAGAAATTGCTTCAGATTGGGTGTGGAAGCAAGTTCCAAATCCTGTGCATTTTCTTCTCACTTCTCCCTTTGATAGAAAAAGGAGATCTAGGTTGAGTACATCCACAGATCACTTCCATGGAAACATGGCAAGGTAGGAGAGGCGTGTGTCCCTCTTTCTACAGACGTGAACTTGCATGCTTCCTTTTTATCTCCCAATCTGCCAGGTTTAGTCTTTTGAGATGACAAAAGATTGAACAATGATCAGGAGAATCGTTAAGCAGGTTGTTTTTCAGTCTCTTTTCCACTTTTTCAGACTTGTCAGAGTAGAAAGGCAGAAAAAAGCTGAAGGACCAACATAGGTGAGAGCCTACTGCAGTTTAAGTTTAGTATTTCCAGAGTAATGGGGTTGATTTTCCCTCCAACAGCAGCTGGAACTTTGACAAATGGAAGTCAGTTAACATCCTGAAGCATTTAAAATTCTATCTTATATTAATGTAGTAATCAGATAAATAAAAAGTCATTAGTTACTATGAATCCTGTCTCCTTTTCCCTCTTCCACGCACACACACACGTGCACACACATACGCACGCGCACACACACACACGCACAAGCTTTTTTTTGTTGCTTTTATTAGGGAAGCTGCATTGACTAAGTTAACTTTCTTCATTTAAGATGTGGTACAATGAATAGACGCAGTAGAAGAGCCCAGGTTTAGGATAACCGTGACATTAAATGTTATTTTCTGCACAATTATTTTAAAATTCCAACATAATATATGAAAAGCATTTCATAACATGTATTTAAATTTGTTTTAAAGACCCAGTCCGTTTCATCAGCTGTATGTGGTTACAGAACAGAGCTTTTACAACTGTCTCTATCTGTGACTGGAGCTGTAACATACCAGTCTTACAAACGTATGAATGTACTTGTCCTTCAGAGTGAATGCACAAGAATTTGTTAGCTCGAGACTTTCACTCTTGCTGAGTTTTGATGCAGCAGAATTTAAAATTAGGTAGATCCTACAGTATTTGCTACTATTGCAGAGCTACTGTTTCAGTTATTGACTCTCTCTTTCTCATCACTGTCATTATCATAAAACCTAAAATGTCGTAGCTAATCAAATTGCAGATGTGTTTCCCCATCAGACTTTCATTTTTTGTTAATAACAAGGGACTAAACGGTTTTATTTAAGGTTACTTAAGCTTTTCTTTATAGTTCTGTTTCCAGTTAAGCAAGACTTTTAGAAATGTAATTTGTTTACTGGTTTTCTTATTCTCTTGCCAGAGATAGTAGAGTCTGGGTTTTGGTTTGGGGCGGGTTTTTTTTCTTTTTCTTTCTGACAAATTAGAGAAAACCTGTGATTAGCTTTATTGACTAAGGTAGATATAGTGCAATTTTTTAAATATAAGTTTTTTTAACTTTTATGAAAATAGTGGCTTTGTTTGACAGCAAAGCAATTGAGTGTGGCAAGTTGAATTCGTCAAGGAAATGCTTTAATATGTATATTGAGTGAGCAATACTTTATTGAGTGAAAAACCTGAAAGGGGAGAATGATAATACTATTTCCTTGGTTGTTTGGCTTTGGAGTTTTGCTTTTTAAAATATAATTTTGCCTCTACTGGTATTATGTAGACGTAGATAATTTATATGACTATTCTTGTTAAGTTTTAATGCCTTTTAGCAAACATTTAGAGTTGTGATTTGAAAATAGAATATAACTTTTCACTTTTGCTTTAAAATATGCTTATCCATGGTTTAGTGCCCAGAGGTGATTTGGTTACTTTGCATCCTTTCCAACAGACGGACAAAGTAAACAGTACCGTATAAAGTGACTCAGCTGTGTCTAGGGAAGCTCTAAGCTGATTTTCCATGAGCTGCTTTTGCCTCTGTCCTGTTGAAATATCTCTTAATACACAACGAGACACAAGTTGGATTGGACTGCAATTGGAAATGTGTACTAGAAGCTTAACGCATAGCTTTGTAGAAATTAGCATTGTTTTACCTGAAATATTTAAATTCTCTGCATCGCAAAAATTAATGTGTTTTTTTTTTGTAGTTAATAAGACACCTTTAGAGGGTAGTGTGAGAACAAATTTTACTCTTTTTAAAATAGATCCTTACAATAAATGAGGATGGATCACTTGGTCTGAAAACCCACAAATCTCATGTTTGTGAGCATTGCAATGCTGCCTTTAGAACCAACTACCATTTACAGAGACATGTCTTCATTCATACAGGTACTGCTTGACTTCAAATTTGTCTTTTTCTACTATATAAAGAGTTGTTTACTTATGTTAAAAATGTTTTCAGCTCTATGCGAATTTCAGTTTTAAGAGTGTAGCTAACTTGGCATCTAAGCTTAGAGATTCCATGCACCAAAGTGTCAAAAGAATACCAGAAAAAGAAAAAAAAAATCAACATATGTTTAATAAACTGAAGACCTAACTGTTTACAAGGTTTCTTTTCTTTCTTTATCAGAAAGTTATGGGTTGACTTGTAGCCTAAGTGCCAAAATTGACCCCTTTGTAAAATGTGCTCCGGCTGCTTATTTGCCTGATGAGGTATCTCTCTGGTTCGGAGAAGTGAAAAAGGTACTTACCATTATAATAGCTTGCCAGTATCCTGAATGCAGACTTATGCCAGCATCGTGATTGATCTTGTTCATGAGGAAATTACAGCCATTCCAGATCACTCTTCCGTGCTAGACTTAATGTGACTCTTAGGATCATGGAAAGAACTCCGCAGTTCCTATACTTAGTAAGGCTAATGTTTTTTTTGTATTAGAGTATTTTTGGAATTCGCTCAGATGCTGGTTTTTTTAATAGACATTTTAATATTCCTCAAAAGTAGTTATCAGAAACAACAGTGTGTAGTTATTAACTTATGGATGTGGAATTATATTGTTCAAGGTGAAAAACCATTTCAGTGCAGTCAGTGCGACATGCGTTTCATACAGAAGTACCTGCTACAGAGGCATGAGAAGATTCATACTGGTGAGTATAGTGCCTTGAGTATCTTTACTGGCGTGCTTAAAAACTGTTTCCCCACTCAGGCAAGGTTTCTGGTAATAAATATGCAGCCCAAAACCCTGTTGTAATTTGTTTTTACTTAACACATGTTATAAAACTTTAAAAAAGAAATTAGTTTTGTGCTTTCAACTTGCTCCACTTTCCTTTTGGCTGTAAAGTGAGTATGAACTCTAGTAAGCAGATCTGTAAGTAGTTTTCTATAAATAGCCCCAGAGCAGCAAATCCTGAAGTTTGTGCATTCATAATAGTCAAGGTTTGTTAAGCAGTTCTATCTTTTGTTCTGTCAAGTTAATTCAGATAACGGGGACTTCCAAATTCCATTTCCATAGATTTATTTGTTTGTTTGTTTGTTTGTTTGTTTTGGAATTTGATGGAAAAGTGCCAGGACTAAAATGGCCAAAATGCCTAACCCCAAAGGTATTAGTATCAGCTTTTCTTTTCACCCACTTTTTCTTTTAGGTTTAATTCAGAACTGTTCTAAAAGTAAGAGTCTTAGTTTAAAAATACGCAATATAGGTCAAATAAGGCCTGAAGTTTTAAACCAAAGAGCGTTAAAGTTTATTCATGTTTATTTTTTTATCTTGTTGCACCACACAGAACCACATTCTTTAACAGGTTTGGTTTCATTGGGTTTTTGGCATTTTGGTGCATGGCCTTTCAATCCCTCTTTAAATATTTTGTAATATGGTCCCTTTTGGACTAGATGCCAATTTCTCAGCCTCTTTTTCAGAAAAGCAGAGCTGGTGAATGTGCACAGTGTTTCTTGGCTGTAGCATTTAAATGGATATGAAAGCTACTAACACGCAGTGCAGTGTGTGCATGTGTCAGGGTTGAGAGGGAGAAAAAACTCTGCAAAATGAATTTTCAGAGCAGTGTACAGGGAGTTACATGCACAAATGCCCTGTTGTTTATGGGATTTTTGTATCCTAGGTTGCCATGAGTCCAGACTAAGTAGGTTTCCTTCAGCCAGTCAGCCACAGAAGAGTCTTCCATTCTTCTGTCCAGTGTCTTTGTTCTGCTCCTAGTCTTTCCTCTGGCTCTGAATTGGTGAACCATGCTGCCTCCACTTTGTGTAGATACTATTCTTGAAAAGAATGCTCATTCACTCTCTTCCATCTATCTGTCCCCCTCGCAAAAAAAAAAAAAAAGGCAAAAGTGCAGTCTTCACATTTTTTGGAAGATTTTTCTTTTTTTTCAAATGAGGATTATTCCCTGTACGTGGCTTTGAAAATGAGAGTCTGGGCAATTTAGTTAATTAATGCTTGACTGCAAATATTTTATAAATTGATTTAATTATCTTTTTTAATTCAGCTTCTAGCTCTAATGAGAATTCTGTGTTGATTTTAAGCTTTGGAGGGAGGGGGTGGTGTTGGTGGGATTGCAGGTTTTTATGCCAGCTCTACCATATGCTAGTAGTTGTTTAGCAGAGAAAAAGGTGCCATTTAACAAATTAACCATATTGTTATCTGACTTTTTAAGATACATATATTTTCCTCCTTTCCTCAGCATCCTGAGGTATAGTTTGGTAGTTTCTTAGAAAATTGAAGATGGTGCTTGTGTTTAAATTACTCAGGTATAGTGTAGTTAATTGGCATTCTGCATGCCTGTGTGTGCTTTCACCTCTATATGACCGTGTTCACTACTGGGCCTTAGCTGTTTGTGTAGTTACTCTGTTGTTCAGGACTGTATAACTAAACCCATCCAGAAAAGCTGCATTTTCAGCTTGCTTCTCTAACGAGAAGGTGTGCAGTGGGTCTGCGTTTCACTTTGATGGAAGTAAAGAAAAGATCTATTTGTATCATTCATATTCTTTTAAGGAACGTTCCTTATAAATTAAATACTTCATTTTTTTTCTTTTTATTTTGCATTTTTACCTCTGGGAATGATCACTTTTAGCACCAGTTTTTGTACAGTGTTCAAAACACTGATGGAGAACAGGATGTCTCTTACTCTTTTAAAAATGTTTATCAAATCTTCCTGTTTATTTTAAGCCAATCAAAGCCAGTGGTAACACTTAGAAGCCCCATTTTATGCCTGTTACAAGCCCCCTATTTACAGGTGCTCCAGCTAGTTCCAGTCTGATTTGAATTTGGTTCTCTGAACTGCTCCTTCAAATGAAATGTTATGAGGGAGTAATGAAGCAATCAATGAACAGCCTTTTTTTTGTGTAAATAATTAAACAGTTGCATCTAAAAGCAGACATTGCATTAATACAAAATTCACTTACTAGGAATAATTGTATGTAGAGGAGGGCAGCAGTGCTAGAACCCTGCTGCTAAACTTGTCCCTAATGAGTCAGAAAATTGCCATTTTAGTTGTAAGAGAGGGAAGAGTCACTAGTACACAAATATTTTTGTATTTTCAGTTTACTAGATTCCAGAAGATGCTGAATGTTCTTTTTTTTTCTAATATGTCTGCTTTCTTTTTGCTTAGAGATGTTTCTATACACCTTACTCACTCATGCATTCATGTGTCCTAATTGTGTAAGCCACCCTACTTTCCATTTTAATCACAAAAACTGAGATTACATTTAAAAAAATAAAACAGCAATGGGGCTCATGATTCAAGTGCCTTCTTATTCAGTCCTGCTGATTTTTTTTGTTGTCTTCTTTGTTATTTTATGATTTGTTTTTTGTCTGTTTAGATTTTAAAATGCCTGAGGTTTTATAATTGTTACAGCCTTCATACACATAATATTTGTACAACACTTTATGAACAGTTCTATTGCTGGGTTTTAATAGATTGCCAACATAAACACATAACCTGTGTTCGTAAATAATGCAGTAATTATTGTATTTTTAAATTTTGACTTCTTTTTATACATCTAATTCTATCCCACTCAACAAGACATTTCAGAAAAATGTCCTGGATTCTCCATGCATTAGCAAAAGGCTGTTATTAACGATCTCCTCCATTTGCCATAGATCCTGTTTGAAAAGTACAACAAAATTGCAGAAGGATCTGAAGTTTCAGGCTTCTGCTAAGAAATTATTATTGGAAGCGTATCTCCATATTAATTTTTAATCTTTTTCTAACATTATCTTCCTTATGAAGATTAAAGCCAAAATTAAGTATGGTATCAGTTTCACAAAGTTTTTCTTAATCTTACTTCCATTCTGGAATTCTACTGAAAAATACCATTTTCTGTGTTGTGCTGAGCAGTTCAAGGGCAGTGTCCCCAGAATTTTCTCCCTGTTAAGGCATGGCCAGCAGTGCCTTTGTATGTACCTGAAAGTCTCCAAAATAGCTGGTGGTCATAATACACCAAAAAAACTCAGAACCCCTGTTTGGCCCTTTTTAAGCCTCGAAATGGGAATAGGTAGCTGAGGGAGTCTTCTGCCAGCAAATAGCCAGCTTGAGTAGACGAATGTTAAGGAACTCTGTGACCATTCATTTACAGAAATGAGGATAAGGCTGCAGGTAAGTGTATTAAAGAAGTGTTCTGCATTTCCTGGGGTAGCAGAATAGCTCCTTAGGGGGCTGTTCAGAGCCAGAACAGGACTGAGCTATTTTGCTGTAAGGCTCAGACAGATCACCAAACAGTTGCTCCTTTCTCTGGAAAAACGTAAGGTAGCATGAAAGCAAACTTTGAGACAACGTAAGGAGAGTCGTTGGAAGAGGCAATTTAAAAGAAACACCAGGTAGAATAGTGGAGCAAAGGGAAAGAAAACTGTAAGGATTAAGTAGTAGACTTTGGGAATGGAAGAGAACAATGACATCTAAAGATCTTGGCTCATCTTGCTGAAAACTGAAGACAAGGATTGGAATTTGATGCAGAAAGTCTCAACAGGCTTGATGGGAGTAAAACACCATAGTCATAAGGGTGCCCAACAAATAAGAGAAGGTGAAGAATGAAACTGGGGTTTGAAAGTTAAGAAATAGGCCAGAGAGAAGGATTTGCTTATAGACAGTATGAGACAATTATATGATAGATATTACAGTTTACAAGCGTGCTGAAAACAAGCAAAGTTTTATGGTAATTATTAATAAGCAAGAAATGATAAAGGTCTCTAACTCAAGTGAAAGAAGAGGTAGGATGCTGAGGTTTTGAGCTTGTAGAAAAAAGAACTGATGGAAGAAGCTGAGAGATCTGAGTAGAGGAGATAATTTGATTTAGGAGAGAATAAATTGGAATAATTTCATCTAAGAAAGGAATTGGCTGAAAAGCCACATGGAGAGGTAAGAATTAATAATTGGAAACAGGACATAAACTTACAAAGAGAGAGATTTAGAAATTGCTTGGAATTAAGGCAATTGAAACTCTGGGCATTAATGATCTGACTAGGAGCACATGTGTGGGCGATACAGATATTTTTCATTCTAGTTTCTATAAATACAGGCACCATATTTTAAGGTACTGTATTTCCATTTCTAGAAGGATGTGGCTAAATAGTTCTATTGTAAATGGAAAAACACACTCATAACATTTTAAATAATAAAATGAATTAATTTAAAATGTTAAATGTTGATAATTATCAGTAATTTAATAAAGTTAGTCCATAACATAATTAGTAAGAATAAAACTACTTCAGAATACAGCAATAGTCTGCATATTTCTGGAAACAAAGCATAGATGGTTTATATCCCAAAAATCAGTGCAGTGCAATATCCAGAACAAAGAGGATGTTGACAGAGGCTGCAACGACAATCCCTGATCTCTGTGTCAGTTCAAAAGATTTCATAGTAAATATTAAGAGGAAAGATCACTATTGTTCAGGCTGAGTTCTGTTAAATAATAGTGAACTTCTGTAAAAGCAAAACTAACTTTTCAATGCACTTGGAATTTTTAAGTTTTGTCAGAGAAACATAGAAAATAAAGAATATCAGAGGGAAGATGTAAGGCAAAAGTTAAAAGAAACAAAAATAGAGCCCAGAAAAGATCATTGCAGGGCTTCTTTGTGAGGAAAAATAAGGGGAGAACTGAAGATGAATTCAGGGCAGTGCATATTGTCTGAACAAATGCTTCATGAAATTAAAGGATAAAACCAAAAACCAAACTGAGCAAATGAGAAATCTGTAAGTATGCAAACACCAGTTTAGCTATAGAGGTTCCTTTTTTTCAACTTAGTTTTTTAAACAAAATATTTTTAATTAGTTTTTAAAAAGTAAATAAATTTGAGTTCCAACCAAAGTAGTAGGATTTTTTCAAAGCAGTTATTTCAATTCTACATACAGATAAGGTAAAAAATATGGAAAAATACAGAGCACTCTCAAAAATGTTATATTCAAAATTTGGAAATGCATAATTCTCTCCTAGAAGGGATGGGTTTGAGTTCATGAGTTGGTGAGAGAATTGAGGTATTTTTATACAGTCGTCTGCCCTAAAAATATGTGATGCAACAGCAGTTCAGGAAGAGCATCTTTGCAGTTCTTCATTTGTTAAGTGTAAGACGTATATTTGCACCACCATTAGAAAGAGGGGTAAGGATTTAGTTTTAAAGGTGGTTTGGTTTTTTTAGCACAAAAGCTTAAAATAATTTGAGGCATCATCTACTGAGTATTGAAAAAATAGTGGTGTGAGCAAGCCCTATGTTGTTTTTCATTAGCAATAGACTAAATCCTCTTACTACTATTAATAAAGAATGTAGTATTTGACCGGGTAATTGTATGGAAAAACGTTGATTCATTTTCTTTGATTAACATTGCTACATGTTTTTTATCAGGTGAAAAGCCATTTCGTTGTGATGAATGTGGTATGAGGTTTATTCAGAAGTATCACATGGAAAGGCACAAAAGAACTCACAGTGGAGAGAAGCCTTACCAGTGTGAATATTGTTTGCAGGTAAGATGACTTGGTGAAATCTTTTGTGATTGACAAACAAAACAGCAGTAGATTCCCAAGTAGTACAGACAGGGATTTCTCCATGGGTTGTAGTCACGTGCATACACATAAATGTATAACAAATGTTGTTTCTGTTAAAGTGGGCATTCTTGGTGCACAGAGGCACGGCTGGCTGTGCTTGATTTTATTGACTGTTGTTTGACACTTCATTAGAAATTGGTAAAGTGGATGAATTGTCAAGTAAATTTTTTAGAATGAAAGATTTCTTTCTGCTAATATATTTATTTTTCCCTAATGATAATAATCACCATCGTCATCTTTTTCAGTATTTCTCCAGGACCGATCGTGTGCTGAAACACAAACGTATGTGCCATGAGAACCGCGAGAAGAAACCGAACAGAAGTGCCACCAAAGTTGGCTTTTTGCCATCGGAGGAAGATTCTGGTTTCTCAACGCCTATGAAAGACAGCTCCTTGCCAAAGAAGAAAAGGCAGAAAACAGAGAAAACAAAATCTGGGGATAAGGAAAGTTCAGATAAATCGGAACACAAGAAGGACAAAAATGACTATTTGCCTTTGTACTCTTCCAGTACTAAAGTAAAAGATGAATATATGGTAGCGGAGTATGCTGTTGAGATGCCACATTCTTCGGTCAGTGGAACGCACTTAGAAGAAGCAAATTCTGGAGAAATACACCCACCTAAGCTTGTTCTCAAAAAGGTTAACAAGAGGAGCCTAAAACAGCCACTCGAGCAAAGTCAAACCATTTCACCTTTGTCTACATATGAAGACAGCAAGGTTTCAAAGTATGCCTTCGATCTTGTGGATAAGCAAAGTTTACTGGACTCTGAAGGTAATGCTGACATTGATCAGGTGGACACATTACAGGAAGGGCCCAGTAAACCTGTACACAGCAGCACTAATTATGATGATGCAATGCAGTTCTTAAAGAAAAAGAGGTATCTACAAGCAGCCAGTAACAACAGTCGAGAATATGCCTTGAATGTAAGTACCATAGCATCTCAACCTTCAGTAACACAGGCAGCTGTGGCCAGTGTCATTGATGAAACTGCTACAGCCTCAATATTAGACACACAGGCGCTGAATGTTGAAATTAAAGGTAACCATGACAAAAATGTCATTCCAGATGAGGTACTGCAAACTCTGTTAGATCATTATTCACACAAGGCTAATGGACAACATGAGATCTCTTTCAGCGTGGCTGACACGGAAGTGACCTCCAGTATATCAATCAATTCCTCTGAAGTATCTGAGGTCACCCAATCTGAGACGGTTGGAACAAGCTCTCAAGCTTCCTCATCAGATAAAGCTAGTATGTTACAGGAATATTCAAAGTTTTTACAACAAGCTTTGGACAGAACTAGCCAAAATGATGCCTATTTGAACAACCCAAGCCTTAATTTTGTGACTGATAACCAGACTCTTACAACCCAGCCAGCATTTCCTTCCATGGAGAAGGTCTACACATCTATACCTGTCAATAGCTTTCGATCAGGAATGAACTCTCCATTAAGAACAACTCCAGACAAGTCTCATTTTGGACTAATGGTTGGTGATTCGCAGCACCCTTTTCCCTTTTCAGGTGATGAGGCAAATCATTCTTCTTCCTCCTCTACACAGGACTTCTTGGATCAAGTAACTTCTCAGAAGAAAGCAGAGGCACAGTCTGTTCATCAAGCATATCAAATTAGCTCCTTTGAGCAGCCCTTTAGAGCTCAGTACCATGGGGCAAGAGCTGGAATATCATCTCAGTTTAGCACTGCCAATGGACAGGTGAACCTTCGGGGACCAGGGACAAGTGCTGATTTCCCAGAATTTCCCTTGGTGAATGTAAATGATAGCAGAGCTGGGATGACTTCTTCACCTGATGCCACAACGGGCCAGACTTTTGGCTAAGAAATCTTTGTAAATAATACTGGCACTTTAGAACACACTTGTCAAAAGGGGGTTGCTCTGTAAAAGATGGAGTTCTGTACAGCTTTTAAGAGCGCTATGTTAAAACAAAAGTAAGCTGATATTAGCAAGACCAATAACTGCTTCTTTCTTTTTTTTTCCTTTTTCTTTTTTTTTTTTTAAATTTTTCGGTTAGCCACCAGTAATTGAACTGCCTGATGTTGGTGCCCCTATCAAAGGCAGTTTATTATTCACTTGTTCGAGTCCAGAAAATATTTTACCTTCTATGAAATTTAAAATAAAAAAAATCCCCAGGTAAGACTTTCCCCCATGATTGTTTCCTTGCTGGTTTCCTTGTATACTTTGGGAGGACAGTTATTGTCTGATATTATTCACATTGTCATTTCTAAGCTTGTCAGCATAGTCATTGCTCTTCAGCAGGGAATCAACATGTACTAAACACACAGAATAAACAAATAAGTTTCAAAGGTCAAGCAAAAATGGCTTTAAAAGATGGCGTTTTCTAGAAGAATAATCTTCAGTCTCTCAAAAAAAGTTTTAGATCATGTGCCCTTTATTTCTGCTTTGCATTACCTTGAGTTGTGTTTGGAGGGAAAAAAAATGAATTCTAATAGACTAACTCTACTATTTAAAATTCTAATTAATTTAAAATACTTTAAACACTTTTTTTAAGCAGAATGCCTAACTGCTAAAGCCTTTACTTCATTCCTGAAGTAATATGTATTTCTTTGTACAGCTGAATCTAGATGTAACTTTTTAATGACTTTTTCATACACAGATACCAAGATTTTGGAGTTTTAGTTAAAATACTCTATAGATGACATTCCCAATTGCAAAATGCTTACACAAACTGTGTATTCCAAGATTTAAAAGCTTAATTGTACCTTACCCTCCGTACTCATAACGATTAACATAGAGCACTTAGCCAACTTGATAGTTTTCGATTTCTCAAAAAATAAAACCATTTTGAGATTTTCAGGTTTGATACGGTTGCATCATTTTCATCTCACACAGCTCCAGTAATTCTCTTCAATACACTTGAGACTGGGTATCCTTAGCTTCTCTAAAAACTGTTTTGATTCTCTGTCTGGCATTTTGACAATTCAGACCATTAAATTTATTGAAGTATCCCTGAAAGCTGAAGAAGCAGGCATTCAGATTCCCTACCTTTTTAGTGTTTGCTTAGTGAAAGTCATTACAATTTTACCAACCCCAAACCGGTGAACGATGCTAGTGAACAGGATTTCTTTTTCCAGCCTAGGAGAGTGATCAGAAGTTTTCGTTGCATTTCACAGTATAAATAAACGACAAAGTTTATCCCTGTACCACGAATATGTTTTTTTGAATAGTACTTTGTCTTGAAGTATACGGTATGGTACGATAAGTAGTTCTGTGTGCATTTTTAAGGTGGTAAGATTTGAGTAGCCTAACTATTGTGTAGTTTAAGTTAACAAGTTACAGATTTTTGAACTGTAATGTTCATTCTATTGCACCTTCCCTAAAGGGACACTGTCTGGTAGTTTAAGGCAGTTTAAGCCTCATGTAGGCTGATTAACCAGGGAAAAACACACACACACACACACACACACATATGGGTAGGTATGTATATGGTGATTTTTTAAAAATAGGATTGCATACATGCTTTTACAGTGCTGTTGCTAACTGGTATCTCTCAGAGAAAGCCATCAGATAGGAGAAAAGACTGCATCTCAAGGGGCTGAAATATATTCTGTCTTTTAAGAAAGGACTTGAACGGGACCTAGAACAATTCTCATCTCTTCTGAAAGCAGTAGCAATATTTTTCTTAATTTTCATTACCAGGAAACTGATCCCACTCTTTATCTTTTCCCCCCTGATAGCACTAGTACAGCACTAACTTCACTTGGTACAGTTGAGGGAGAAAGGGTATTTATTTTATCCACAGCTTGCTTCTCTTATTGGCAAGAAATACAATTTATGTAAACTTATTTCTTAATACTTTTGTATAAGAAAACAGGTTCTGTTTTGATTTGTTGACCCCTCTGTATAATACAATAAGGTGTTTCAGTGTGCTATGACTTACCAATAGTTTTGCCCAAATATTTGTCCCCAAGTTAAAGAGCAGGCATTAGGAGAGAAAAGTAAATTCCTTTTGGATTATTGATGATACATTTAAAGAAATTTCTTTGAAAGAATATTTTTAAACTGATTCTGGTTTTCTTCCTTTATGGTCAGTTTGGTTTTTTCACTTTCTATTCTATGTTGCACAGAAATAACATATATGCCCCCTATATCCCAGGAAGCCACTTCTTGTAATGCATATTTTGAGTGTTTCATTTCCATGACATCTTTGCTTGTGCTGCCTGAATAATACTGTGTTGGCATCTTTGCTCTCATGCCCTGATGCTGCAAGTAGATGGCCATTAATTGTACTATTTGTTGAATACAGCAAGGAACAGAAGGGAAAAAAAGGCCAGGTTATTACTGCACTGCCCTGGCCCCATAGGGAGGTAAGAGGAATAAAGCCTCCTTCTCCCTAAGGGGGCTGACTCAGCTTTATTTGAAAAGGTTACTGCACTGATACTCTGCTGGGAGAAGGTGATTTAGGAGTTAGGGAGAGTCGCTCTCACTCCATCCCATCTCCACACAGGAATTGCTCCATAGGAGCACGAGGGAGCAAGCTGTTGTACAGAGTGAAGGAACTTGCTCTTCCTGCAGCCAAATGGGAATCACCTGAGGAAATGTTATCCCTTACGTCAGAACTCATTCCCTAGCCTGCTGCTGAGCCATTCCAGCTACACTCTGTGCCTTAGGACAGGCTGTGAAGTCCCCATCTAAGCCACAGGGACTATCCCATAGGGTTCTTCCACATGTACAATTAAAAGTGATGTGAGTAGTTGATCCGCTGATGCGTGAAGCTTTCTGCACTGGAGGAGTTAGCCAAATATACTGCTATGATTTAGGTTTAACTCAGTAAAAAGCTCTTGCTTATTTAATAATGACATTATTTTATTTAATAACATCTTTCACCGCTCACGTTTTGCTGCTTTTAATCTACAGATGCTCATTCTTCATGTTGATCTGGGCACTGTTCGTTTTTTTAGGTTTTCATGTATGTTCGGAAAAAAGCAGCTTTGGTTTTCTGCTCTGTTCTTGTACTGATGCTGTTCAGTCAGTCAGCACAAGGCTGGGGTGAGTGTGTGTATTCCCCTGAGCCAACAACAGACATTCTTAATGAAAGGTCATGTAAGCACCAAATGTGTGTGTGTGTGTGTAAGGTGGACATTTTGGGGATATCTACTAGTGATAGAGCAGTGATAATTTTAAAAAAAGAGGAAACTGATGACATTTATTAACAAACTATATATATACACAATACATGTGTATATATATATATATATATATAAAAATATATACGCACTTATTAATAGGCCATATTTTGGTCCTAAATTACTTGACAGTGTCCCTTTTAGCATGAATCTGTTGATATGTTTTACCATTAATATAACAGACAATGAAGGAATCAGCTTGTAATGGTATACTAATAGGCATTTACATTTTCTTCCTTTGATTTGAGAATGAATTAATCATAAATGACAAGTTTTGGGGAGAAGGATTAACCATGTGTATTACTGTATGTTGGTTTACGAATAACAACATAAACAATTTCAATTGGACGATAAAAGAACCATGTTTATGATCTTGTGTCTCCTAGTGTTGTCTTTAGGAAAACTGTGTTTCAAGAAGAAAATAGGACAAGGAAGTATTCATGTGAAATAACAACTTGTATTATTTTTATATTATACTTGTCAGTTTTTTGGATGACGGGAGCTTTTCATTGTTAATTGAGAAGTACAGTAAAATCTTGCTAATTCGCTGACTTCTAAACAGAGCATCCAGTAGGTTTCTACATCCCTGATGGTCTCTTCCCACCTCTCTGCAATGGTCTAAAACATGCTGTAGCGAGGTCTCATACAATAATACTGTACTACTTCACCCAAGTATACTACAGCATCTACATTAGTATACTGGGAGATAGAAGGAGTATTGAAAACTAAATTACAGTTGTCAAAATAAATGAACAAAGTACATTTTGTGATGTGACATCCTTGCTTTTGTTGCCTGCTTCTTCGCTATTTTCAAAATTGTCATTTTTAAAGGGTTTCTAAGACATTGCTGCGAATTATTGGGGTTCTACTGTAACTTTTGGAGTTTATTCTAAAGTATTCATGTTCTCCTATGAAAACTTTCCACTTGGACAGATACATTATATTCCACGCTTGATCAGAATATTTTTATAGTATTTGTATCATGTGTAGTAACTATTTGAAATGAACCAGAATATTTGGATGAATTCACTCTGAATTTTGCAGCATTGGATTACTTTATGTATGTATATTTGCTAACTAAATTTTCTTGGCTTTGAGAGCTTTGATTTTTATTCTTCTTTGTTTGCTTGTTTTAATACCATTACAAATTGCAGGGAAAAATCCTGATACTCCTGGGAATCCGGTTGGAAATGTTAACAGGCAGGAATATGCTTATGCCGTCGGTACCAGTACGCATGTGAACTTTCAAATTACATGGTTGGTACTGAAGCAAATGAATAATGCCACAGTTTCCTAGAGTTAAAATGTTTTACTAAAATGAAGCCTTGTAACTTTGAAAGTTCATTCGACTTATGGTAATGCATGTTTATGTTAGGCATGTAATGCATTTAGCTGAAACTCACTTTGCAAAGGACAAGCACTAAGAAAGTATTACTGCTAATGAAAAGATGTGTCNTTTAAACTTTTCTTCAAGTTTAATTTGCTTTGTGTCAGGGAAATAAATTTATAGTCGCTTTTGCTCTACTCGACCTACAAAACCTTCTGTTTCCTTTCTAAAATTACATCTTTTGGTAGGAAACACAAACTGAGGCAAGCAAACATTTCTAAGACTTGTTTCTTGCTTTCCTTAATCCAATGGATGGAAAGGTAATATTGTGTAAACAACATTATTTTATTTTTTTATGCAATACCATGCTGTAAATATGATTTATCAAATAAGGATGTACCTATGATTGAATCTTTGATTCTGCACAGCTAGAGTTTATATATAAATATAAATGTGTCTTGACAATCAAGGACTTATGTCAGTCTTCCTTTATGACGTTTCTTATTGTTATGCATTCCATTTGTTTGACTTGAGTATTTGTATTGTCTGTAAAGTATGTAATGTTTTTATAGCTTGTTTAAAACAAACAAAAAAGCCTGTAAATATGAACTGATCACAGTACTGCTCTGTTAGAAGGCATAAGATGATGTACTGTTTGTAAGCAATAATACATGACAGTGCTAACTTGACAAGTAGCATAAGGTTAAGTTCCAAAAATACCTTTGGGAGTTAATAGCCTTGTTTGAGTTAATGAATATTCTTAATCATTTTTTTATAAATAAATTCAAACGTCCTCCTGCTGGAATATATAACATTGTTTACACAGCACAATTTCAGTCACAGAGAGGACAGTCTTTAGATCTATGGCTTCATCCGTACACACTTTGAGTAAGAAATGAATGGCTTGGCTGCACTTCTGCGAGATGAGGAAGACTGCAAAAGTTGAATAGCTGTGTCTCTAAAGGATGAGAGATACTATTCTGTTTCTGTGCTGATTCCTGACAGTTCCTCTACTTAATTTGGAGTCTTTAAGTCCTGATATTGAACTGGTGAGACTGGGGCCTCCCATAGAAAGGAGTAGTTCTCTTCTTATTTCATATGCAGATAAACAGTGAACTTAGGAGTCACCTCGTCATTTGAGTTGCATATTTTTCAAATTATGAGCTATGAGATGTTGAGATGGGTTTATTCTGATAAATAAACTAAATGTCAAACTTATAGTTTGAATCGAATAGGTATTAGACTGTACAGAGCAGCATAACTATTTGAACAGTCATCACTGCTTTAGAACCTCCCCCCCAATTTATAAATGTATATGACCTACATTTTATAGAAAAAGAAATGTTTTTAAATGCTAGTCATTTATATAATATGTGCTTTGAAGGATTTGCTAGTCCACTTCTGTCACTTTTAGTACACTGGTATCTTTTATATGTAATGTATGCTTTTTATTATTATAATTATTATAATTATTATTATTGTAGTAAAACATTTCAGTAGGAGGAATTTTGCAACAGTATGAGGGGTTGAAATTTTCATTGTCAGAAATGAATTATACTGGACTTTGTCTTTGTAGTCTTGTCTTTCTTTAATTGCTGTCTGGGAGGGAACTTGGTATTCAAATAAAGCAAGTGACTTCCTTTTATTTTGAAGGCATACTAAATAGTGCTGAATTGGATATGAAAATATAATGAATTTGAAGACAGAGAAATTAGTACAAAATCTAGTGTACAGAAGAAATTGTGTTACGAAAAACTTTATGATATATATAGTGGAACACTGTTACAGTGAATTTCTGATATAGTGTTATTTTCTGAAGTCAATATGCCTTCTTTGTATTTCAATTAATTAAAAAAAAAAGATAATTTGTATAGATAAATTTAGGACAATAGGTTTATTTCAATTATTATACAGTATTTCTTTATCCTACAACATCTATTCCGTCCCTTTGTTATCAGACAAAAGACCGTAACCTGAATTCCATCAGTTAAAGTATGTATATAGGTGAGAGATGGTTTTATAGGAACCTGAAGAGAATGAATTTGTATATTCCTTATGTTTCTGACAGAAATCAGTATGTGAGTCTGTCATTATTCCTGTGAAATGAGGAATTTCCTGATACCAAGAGGAGCGTGTGTGCATGTGTGTTTGTGTGTGTGTGTGTGTGTGTGTGTGTGCACATAGGTACACGGAAGATGTTTGGGTCTCATGGCAAAAATGATACAAATATAAAAGGATTTAATGTAGTTCAACATATGACTTACATTTAATATGTAAAAGAAACATTTAAATTTCATAATTCAAAAAAAGACAAAAATAGTTTTGCAGGAAACAAAACTATTTGGATAGCAAGCTTGACCAAATGAATTTTTTTGGTTAAACTTGATATATTTTAAAGGATTCTATTTCTGCCTTTATTTCTGCCCTAAAAGCAACTTAAAATATTTTGGGAGTTATTCTTCCTGTTCATTTGACTGTGAGTGTAATTTATATCATGGTTTACAAAATGTGGCATGAAGGATTGGATTGTTCTATCTGTATAATACAATGAAAGATTGCTTTTTTTTACATAATCATGGTGAATGGTATTGTATTCTTAGGACTGATTTATTCATTAAGTGACTTAATGAGTTTCATCACTTTTGACGTTATTGTTTTCTTATGGTTAACTTAGTCTTTTTGGGTTTATAATACCCTTCTATGTATTGTGATACTAAGGGAAGTTATGTTTTTGCTTTATTTTTAATTAAACTAATAGTTTGATAATTTATATTTGCAAATGATGCATTTTAAATGTGGTCACTTGCTGTTTGAAAAATAAAAATATAGAATACTGTTTTATGAATAGACTTAGCAGTATTTTTCATGTTAGATAGTTTCGAACAAAATCTGCTTTCTTGATGAGACAGATGAAGACATGTAAAGATACATATCATTGTGAAGAACTGAAGTGGATACTTTTCAACAATTAAATGAAATATTTAAATATTGATTTGAGACATACAAAACTTATTTGGGTTTTCTTCTCCTTTGGATCTCATTGCCTCCTTTGATTACAGCAAACAGTATCTGACCTTAACTTTAATCCTGGTTGTCTGAGAGGATTGCACTGGAATCACTTCAGTAGAAACACCTAGTGTTAGACCGTCAGCTTTCCTTTTGTGATTTTTGTTTGCACTGGAGGGAGTTTATTCAGTCCCAGCAACTCCTCATAATAGTGAGAACCAGGACTTCATTTGAATCTCAGTTGTAAGAAAGGTGAACTTGACTACTTAAGATTTCAAGTCTGTTGTATAACAGCGTGCCATGTGTGCTACGTCATTTCATAGCATGTGTTATATATGGAGTATTTGTTACATAGATTTTTCTATTGTTGAAGCAAGTATTTTGAGAAATATTGAAGATTATAGCATATATACACTTACAAAACCAGAAATATGCCCCATAGCATTAATTAAGTTTTTAAGTTAATTTAGTTTTCTCACCTTTATTTATTCGTGTGTTTACGGCATTGTTTCCCTGAATCTTTTGGTAGGGTCCCTCTTGGTAAATACTCGATTTTTGTGCAATGCCTGGCTCTGTTGATTTTACTTCATGTAAGAACAAGTTTTATGTGAGAAAGTGTTAAAAGTGGCACAATGCTTTTTAAAGAGAAAAAACAGTAGTGCAGTAGCATGTGAAGACTTGAGCTGTGCTCAGATGAGCACGGCAGGAGGAGCTGTGCGGGTCTGGGATGTCAGCAGCCCCTCTCCTGGTGGGCCTGGAGCCTGCAGGGTCACTGCCTGGGCGTTCTCCACCAGCCACCTCGGGGAACCTCCTCCGGGCAGCGGTGGCTGCAGGAGAGGAGCTTTTCATCTGGCCTCAGCCTAAACCCCCTCTGAGCTGACTGAATTTGCACGGTAGCAGAGAAAGGGTGCTCAGGAGAGTTGCTCTTCTGTCTTACCCAAGGACAGCAGCCCTAGCAGGGGTGGCCATGCACAGCCCAGGGTGGTCACTGACTACATCAGCACAGATGTTTTGGGAACTGGCCACGGGAAAGCTGCTGTTTTTCAGTCCCTCTGAGCCATGTTGCTGTCTCCTAGTGCCTTTGCATACCTCTGAAGTGTGGTGTGAATACAGCACCATGACTTGATATGACTTTGTTTCAACCTTACTTAACATGGTATGTTAACATCCAGCCAGTATAGTAACTACTTTCAATGGTTTCATGTTTAATATTTTTAAATTGTGGGTGCACTCTGCAACATGCCTGACAAAGTGTCTCTGTACTCAGCCACCCTGCTTGTCTTTATGTTCACTTCTATTAGTTATACTGATTTTTATTTATTTTAGTTATACAATGGAAATAAGAAATCAAAACTGATCATTTCTGCGTATCGGCTTACATGATTAAAATTGTCAAATAGTAAAGTGATACTGAAAACAAGATATTTTTCAATATTTTGATATTGAAAAGATTTGCCAGAAGCTACATTTTGTGTTGAGTGAGAAAAATAGTCTATTTAAATTGGCTTTCCTTTTTTTTTTTTTTTTCCTAGAAGAAGGAAACAATTTTCTGTTAAAATAATTGGTTATTTGTGTATTTCGAGGCATTAAAAAATATCTAGCTGAAATTAGTATTTTTCTTGCACCGCACAGGGTAAACTATTTTGTAGCTTGAGGTTAGACAGCAGTTTATGATACAGTTGAGCTATTTGGAGGTGGGTTGGCTTAGGGAGGTAGTCTGGAAGAGTGTTCAAGTGTCCCATGTGTTGGTTATCTTCTGCATTGCGCTTGCCAAATCAACAGAATATAGTCTCCGAGAGAATATTGTTTGCTTTTTTGTCTGCTTTAGTTGTCGAGACACGGAGTTTAAAGAAGAGAGCTGTCCACTGGCATAGGGAGTTAAAATGGAGCCCATGTGTGCTGTCCTTTCTGAAGCCAACAGCCCTGCCCTTGTTGCTCAGGTAAGTTGCCTCCTCCGCAGTGTCCTTCCCCTGTCACACCAGGGCTGGTCTTCAGGTTCCTGCTGCACCATCTGCTCCAGCTTTTCAATTTCAAAGGCAGTCAAATGCATACGTGTTTGAGTCACTGGCAGAAATTAAATAGGATGGTTTGGTGAGGTTCTGTTTTAAAATGTGTGCGTGTGTGTCTTTTGCAGCTACATCACTTTGCGTGTGTAAGCAGCCAGGCACATCGTGCAGAAAGCATCAGGTCCAGTTCCTACCTCCCGTATTTGAACTTCTGGATGATTGCTGGATGTACAAGTCACTGTTGTTTCTTTCTGCTTAGAGTCCATCTCCCTGGGCAACTTCTGCCTGTCTCCTGTCTTCCAGGAGAGCCAAGACATGTTGCTGCGTGATCGCTCTGTGTGTGATTTTATTTGGCCAGCGGCTGCACCTTTCAAGCTTCTTGCCTAGAAATGTGGGTGCCTAGTCCCAGACCAAGCTTTGTGCTGATATCTTTTGAGACAGATCAGTGCACTGCCAGTAGCTTGTACATAGCTGCCTTCATTTAGAGGAGGTGATACCATCTCAGCTGCATAGCCTGAGAGAGGTAAGATGGCCTGGCTATAGAAATGCAAGCAGTGGCACTGAACATGTGTTAGTTTTCACTTTTATTTATATATTTTTTTTTTTCTTATTTTTTTTTTCTTATTCTCATGGTTAGATGTGATCATTAGTGCCATTTCACAGAGGCAGAAGTAACAGAGCTTTTGTAACTGCTGTTAGATCAAAAGCACTAGCCTGGCCTAACTGAAATGAAGAGGATCCATTTTTTTCGCAGTGTGATTTATAAAAGAATATTTCTCTGTTGTAATATGAATAATGACTGTTCAAAATGTGTTATACTCTGAAAGGTCTTCAGGAGCAGCACTTCTTTAATCGGTCTTTCTTGCCACAAGATAAACTGAGTCATGAGAGACGATAAAGCAACGACTGCGAGTGCTGGAAATGTTCAGGGTAATTGCGAGGTAATCTCGACTACGCAGTGCTGTGTAAGAACAAAGCAGAGGATGACATCAGAAGCTGAAAGGATGACTTATTTGTTTTCTCTCGAGTCCTGTGTTTTCTTCCATTTCTCTTGCCAGTTCCTGAAATCATCTTTGTTACAAAGCTAATTATAGACAGAACAGCCTAAGAAAGTTACAGCTCAGAAAGACGGATAAGCAAGCGCAAGGATACCACTGGGACAAAATTATCTTTTTGTGCAAACCAGGACTCAGAAAGGGGGATTTTCTTTAAAACAACATTTGTTACCTTAAAGGAAAGTGTCAAATCAAAGTGAACGGGATGATTGATCAGTCTCCTAGTCAAACATGTAGTTAGAGTGATGGATGTTGCAGCCAGTTGAAAATGAGCTCTAAGGACAGTGCGAGTCCCCACAGCGGGCGTGGAAATGCGCTTTGACAGTGTCGGCTCTCACAGAGTTGTTTTCTGAAAATCCATTTTAAGGAATTAAAACAAGAATGTTGTAGTGATGGTCAGGTATTATATTGATAACTGCTGTTACACACACTGAGCAACATCAGGTAAAAATCCATTTGAAAGGCAAAGTATTATACAGTTTGCAGTGATGAATGAACTTGAAAAAGGCTGGCTCTTCATTTAGCCTAGGAACATACTCTACATGTCACAGCGTGTTTTACTGTTGATCTAGGATTTGTAGGTCATTAAGCAATGTGATTAGCTAAATTGTGTAGTTTATTCACAGTCTGTGCTGTGTACATGGAAATTGCAGTTTGCTGTGTTGTAAGACATGTATGCCTGGCAGCTGAAGAAGATGGTGATGAGGTAGGTGGTAATTAACATCCATCCTACTAAGAATCAGTCCTTTCCACATTTCATAGGATGGCTCAGACCTGTGGATGTTTCAAATTCACATCCCTTGCTGACCAACCTCTGCGCTGCTACTTTCCCTGTTTCTGTGGACCACGTTTGTATCTTTGACACCTCTGTGGTGTTCCCATACTGGTTTTATCCCACATAACCTTTTGGCACCCTCCTTACTCTCTTATATCCATCTCCAGACTCCATTCCCTGGACAAATTTCCACTGACACCATATGGACTATGGAAAGTCTTCTTAAATCACAGTTCAGGATGTCTGATAACACAGGTCTGCCAGTCTTTGGATGGTCCATCTACCGGTCCTGAGGACCTATGTTACCTGAGGGAAAGGATTCCAGTTGGTCTGTGGAACTCGCAGTGTCCATTGATAGCCCTGAAAGTACTCAAGAATTGGACTTTGATAAAACAGTTTTAACTTTTATTTTCATTTTTTCCCCCATTTTATTCCCAGTAGAGCTAAGGTACTCAGCAGAATGAGAGAGAATTTTATCTGGGACTTCTAAAAAACTTTCTCAAATGGTTTGTGATGGTTTTCCTGGAAGGTGGTGTAGACCCTGAAGCAGTGTGGAGGAAGGCCCACATGAAGATGCTGGTGGCTGAGCCAGCTGTGAGTCATGCAGCCATCCTGAGCACGCACTGAGGGAATTTATACCATTCCACATCATCACATATTCATTACAAGTAAGCTAAGTTGGAGCCACTTCTCTTGCCTTTGTGCTACCTTATTATTTTCAAAATCTGTTCTTTAAAGAAAGCAAACTGCTGTGCATGTGACTGCCCCTGGTTGATTGCCTTTGGAGATGGGACAGTTTATGCCAGTTATGGTTTTCTTCACGTGCTGAGTATGGAAAAGAAGTGTGCTCCTCCAAAACACACACAGCCCTGCTGAAAGAATGCTCCTTCTCTTGGAAGGATTCTCTTGCCAAGAAGGAAAATGTTGAAAATTGCCATGACTTAAATAGGAGCAGACAGAGCTCAACACCGACCACTTCTGAAAGTGCTTCTTAACAGCAGTGCTTGGTGATTTTAATGTGTCAATGCGGTCCTTGAAAATACCTTTTGCTGGAATTCATCTGTAGTTCTTTCCAGTGAGGAGGCAGGATTTCCCAAAGAAGTGTTCAGCAGTGGGGAGTGGCCGTGGCAACTGGCCCAAGAAACTTCTTTAGCACTTGGCTTGTGTGCTCATGTGTGTAGGGGCAAATATGCCTGCAGGCAGGTGACAGGGCTTGGTCCTCCAGGAATTAGTGACTCTTCATCAGTTCTGCAACAAATCGAACATACTTATTTCAGATTTTGCACTGGCCCTCAAGATAGGAGAATCTGGCTGAACCTGTTCCCTGGTAGTTGTACAGAGTGTAAAAAGGGAGCTGCAGGAGAGCTTTTGAAATATTCCAGGAATGGAATATCCTGGGGAGATACCCACAGAATTGGGATTGTTCAGTCTGGGAAGGAGGCTTAGGGGTGACCTAATTGCAGCCTTACAGTACCTGAAAGGGAGCTGACAAGAAAGATGAAGAGAAACTATTTACAAGAGCATGTAGTGACAGGACAAGGGGGAACGGCTTCAAACTGAAGGAGGGCAGGTTTAGATTAGATATAAGAAAGAAATTCTTTACTGTGAGGGTGGTTAGACACTGGCACAGGTTGCCCAGAGAAGCTGTGGATGCCCCAACCCTGGAAGTGTTCAAGGCCAGGTTGGATGCAGCTCTGAGCAACCTGGGATAGTGGAAGGTGTCCCTGCCCATGGCAGGGGGATTGGAAGTGAATGATCTTTAAGATCCCCTTGAACCCAAACCATTCTGTGATTCTATGATTTCCTCAGGCTTCATCCTCCTTTGAGAAGTCATCTGTCTCCTCTGAACTCTTCCTTTCCTTTTCTGCCACTTGCTTGTCCTTGCTGTTTCCATCCAAGAGTGAAGGCTTGTTTACACTTTGCCCTGCAGGACACTCTGGAAAATCAAAGTGGGTTCGTTCACTAGGCTACATGGATGTCTTTTGTAGGTACTTTATTGAAAATTAAAATGGCCCTAACACATTTTAGAAGTAAATGAAATCTGTGAATGCTGCACGAGCTGGCTCTAGATTTGATCCTGTTAACATCGAGACTGTCCAAAATTCGTGCCTTTAATTCAGATGGAGTTTTGCCTATGCAAGGTCACAGAATTTCTTGGCAGCCCAGGGCTGAGAAGTTACGCTGGAGCGAGTTCCTATCGAGACCGAGATGTGCGGAATCAGAGTCCCCTTTCCCTGTGGCCAAGCGTTTCCTCCTGCCGCAACCGAGCAGCTATATCAATTTGGTTATTTATTTTTTATTTTTATTTTTTTTATCAGACTCCTGAGAACAGCAGATTTAGTGGAAGTCTGCTCCTAAACCCTCAGTAGTTTCCCACACCCTGCCATGCTCGTGCCGCCGCCGCGGGCGCTGCGGGGTCTCGGCGCTCCGGGAAGCAGCACCCGGCGTGTGTCCCACGGGCCCGGGTGGGACCTGCCCGAGGTGGCAGATGCAGATGCAGCCGCGGGGGCGGGCGCGGTGCCCGGGCAGACGTGGCAGCGCCCGGGGCCGCCCCGGCGGGAGGCGGCGCCGCGGGAGCGCGGGCCGGGGGCGGCGGCCGCGGGAAGGAGGGAGGGAGGGTCCGGGAGCCGCCAGGTGAGTGGAGCCGGGGCGGCGGGGACACCCTCGGGCCGGGGGGGCACAAACCTGAGCGATGGGGGCGGCGCAGGTGGTGCTTTGCCCGCTGGTCCCTCCGGCCGCGGCGTTGCGGCGGCT